TATTTTTATACTATTTATTTAAAAATATAAAATTTTATATTATTTAAAAATAATTAAATATATCTAAGTAATAAAAAATTTGTTGTTGATTTTTTTTTTTGTATTAATCCCTAATATTCAAAAATCACATTGGATCTTAATTAATCTGAAATTGAATTGAGTCAAATCTTATAAAAAAGAAATGTTCTCTCAATGTCTGTTTTTTTCATTTATAAGATTTAAACTCAATATTTTATTTATGGAAAACCGAACTCATTTTATTTAGACCAACATATCATTGATAAAATTTGTTATTGATGAGATAAGTGGTATATACATAAAAATAGTAATTGATTTTAAAACTTATATAAATTATATTACTATAAATCAGTGTTATCAGTAGCAAATGACAATAAATAACAGGAACTTCAAAATTCACTATGATAGCATAATGGATGACGAAGCTGCCACTATTGACAAAATAGTGGCAAAAAATTTAAAAAAATTAAATATGATTAAAAATTGACATATCTACTAATAAAAAAAGTTTAAAATGACATAATAAAAATTAAAATAACCTAATAATAACCATATGTGGGCAACTAAGACATGTTGTCACATCTCCCTTAATCCTTGTTTGGTGCCACTTTGCTCTAGTTGTCTCATCAGTTGTAACTTTATTGCAAAAGTTACATCACACAACTTGTATTATTAAGGTCTACTAATGTTTTGTATTTTCACCCAATATCTTCTTTTGATTTTTTTGATTTTGAGGAGATACTTGTGGATCCACTTCCACTTGCCATGTCTATTAATTCATGAAAAAAGTAATAAACCATTAATGATATAAGAACAGTAATCAAATAGGAGAACAAATTAATTGAAAAAAAAAAAAAACAATTTGGAACTAGAACATAGATGTGTATGTAGAAAAAAAAATAGCAAAAAAAAACAAAAAAACAAAAGAGATTGCTTCGAAGAGTCATAAGACATCAAATTAAATTAAATGATAGTTTAACATACATACAAGTTAATAAATTATTTATAAAAAAAAAACAGAGTATGGAACTAGAACATGGATGTGTATGTTTATGTCCAAAGAAAAAAATAGTAAAATAAAAAAATAAAAAAAGAGATTTCTTCGTACTTTTAGAGAACAATGAAAGATGACAATGAGAATAAATAAATTGAAAAAAAAAAAAAAGAAAAAGAAAAAGAAAGAGAGATGGATTCAACTGAACAAATAAATGAAGAAAAAAAAGAGAGAGAAAGAGATGGATTCAAATTTCAGATTTAGAAATTAGAATTTGGAACAATCAAAA